CGCCCCTGATCACAATGCTGCTGTTTCTTTGTCTTTATGCCAAAGTAAATGTCTGAGGGATATATGAGTACTGAGTATGTTGTTTATTAAGTTCCTCAGCATGGAAACTAATACACTTTGGCATGCCCCGCAGGAGTTGCTCATCCAAGAATTCTCTTTTCACCAGCTGAATGCTAATTTACTTTGGCCTGGTACATTTGCGTTTGCAGAATGGCTTGCACAGCATACATCCTGGTTTAGAGGGCGACGCATAATTGAGCTGGGCAGGTAATACCTTAAAGCATTTAACGTTTTGTTCTCTCATCCTAAAAGATTGGACGTTCTTCTGTGTTTTCTCTGCTAAACGACATGCCTTCACAGTGCAAAGGAACCTTGTTGCAATTCTGTTTAAATGTTCCTCATAAATTGAGAAGAAACAAACTTCCTTTTCAATATCAAAATAATGTTTCTCATTATAGACTGTCATATTAGCAATTTTCTATGACGTGTTTTCGTCTTTAGCAATTGTTTACACAAGTATCGTTCCATCTAAGATACTTTCAGTTATAATGCCAAGTTTTGCAACTTATTGTTATAATGCTAAGTTTTGCAAAGTAATAGAGAACTTTAATAAAAGCACTTCTTGGTATAAGGAGAATAGACAACTCCTTATATCTTCAGTAGCACAATTGAAGATGAAGCAGGATCCCAGTATGAAAATCAGAAATGAATAACGTTGTGCAGTTTGAGCAGAAGCTGCTTTGTTGGAATAATTTTGGTACATGCATGTTTTAGAAATGATTAGTGGTTCTGATTTGTGAAGTTATTTTGTACTGTGTTAGTTGTTTGACCTTTGTTAATGTTTATTCCAGATCTTCCTTATTTTCTGTTATTTAATTTGCAATCTCATTAGTATCTGTCGTTCTATCATCTGAAAGAGTTCTATTTATTTGTGTCCTCTTGGCTCCCATGTGTATCTAATTTTGAAAAGGGGAAAGTGGAAGAGAAAAAATTCTTTAAGTTGAAAATGTTAAACTGGTGTCTTTTCCACTTTCTCTGTCCTTCCTTTGAGACTTGTATGTGGTGGTCCTTGTGCTAACTTTTGATTTTTGTCACAGTGGGACTGGAGCTTTGGCCATCTTCTTGAGAAAATCATTTGAACTGGATATTACAACGTCGGACTATGATGATCCAGATATTGAAGAGAACATAGCACATAATTGTCGGGCGAACGGCGTTTTACCAGCCCTTCCTCACATAAGGCGTTAGCTCTTTTCCCCATGAAATTTATCCTTATACCCTTCTGATAACTGTGATGAAAATGCCCCCTGGGGAGAAAGAAAACTATATACCCTAAACAAGTTACTTCTGTACTAATATACAAGGTATGCTTTTTGAGCAAATTTTGAAGACATAAATTGACTTGCATCATTGTTCTCAGATTCATGGGGAGATGTGTTTCCAATAGCTGATCCAGACTGGGACCTCATAATCGCAAGTGATATCCTACTATGTAAGTAATTTACCTCAGGCTTGCTATCGTCCTGTAGCGGGCTTATGTTACATGGATTAGCGGTCTTGACATATCAGATCTCTCGTGCATATCCTCTAACCTTTCCCCTTTCTCCTTTTTCTTGTTCATTTGCTACTTGCAGATGTTAAACAATATGAGAACTTGGTAAAGACCCTATGCTTTCTCTTGAAATCCTACAAGCCAAAAGTTAATGAAACAGGTTCCAGAAATAGTGAAGAAAAGGGTAAGTTTTGTACATTTTGTAAAGCTTGCATATTTATCTTATACGGCACTAATCAGGTTGCTTAACCTGCTCTATCAAAACTCATGGCTCAGATATGTGCCCATTGCCCCGGCCAGCTTTCTTAATGAGCTGGAGGCGCAGAATAGGGAAAGAAGACGAGTCAATCTTTTTCACAGGATGTGAAAAGGCCGGTCTTGAAGTAAACCATTTGGGATCCCGTGTGTATTGCATTAAGCTCAAAGAACCGAGTGCCATTGAAGCAGTATAAGATAATTCAGTGAATTTTAAGAGCGATGGAATTGGGTTTAGCTTAGTGCTTGGTTCTGAGGATACTCCCTTCAAAAGCTGGCTAACCTCAGTGAGGCCATAGGCGTCTAGTATCCTTCGCCATATCTTCAAGTGTCATTCTTCCATTATTTTGGGCTCGTGCATGTTCTGCAATACTCCCTTTTATGGGTGGTGTACGAGGATTTCTTTGTTCCTTCCGGGACACATGAAGCTACCTGGTTTAGTGGTAAGTCAAGTCCCCCTTACGACATGTAACGCACAGCCTGATATGGCTCATTCAGGTTGTTGCTTGTTGGAAGTATTGGTATTCTAACGCTTAAGCAGATTTTTTCATGCATTCAACAGCAATAGGTTTTTCACCATGCTTTTTTGCAACTTTGGAGCAGCTTAAATTACATTCACTAAAAGGACTAATCCATGCTTATAGTCCCAACAAAATACTTGACAGACGTTCACATGCCCTGCGGCCTGCAGTACAAAAGTTGGGACTGAAGCTTATATAGGCTGTACAAATCACTGAATTTTTGCTACTATCATTAAAGGAAATTAAAGCATTGAGATTGCAAATTAAATAACATGAGAGCAATTCTCGTCTTGCCTGGATCGAAATGATTGGGCAATTCTGATACGCAATGCAAGGTAATTAACCAATTATATTGATTAACCAATTAGTCAAAGGATTTTGAGCTGAAATAGAAGAAACAAAGTGATATTGATCCTATGGACTAGGACATTTCTTACCACCTTGTGTATGTTGACATGTTTCTTTCGGTATCACATGTTCCAAAGCTAATAATGTTGATTGTTGAGTACGTACTTTCCAAAGTAGTATGGCTTAATCAACAAGTGCGAATATTTGGAAGGTCTTCTCTGTCGACCACAAAAGTAGTGAAAATAGCTTCTTCTTTTTTCGTTAATAAAATCAGATATGTTTGGAGAACTCTCCAGACCACAACATAAAAATCTTTATAAAATATAAAACAGTTGCTTTCTTAAACTCTTCCAAAACAAAAATCAAGAGGACTAAAATAGAGTTCAACTTTGAGAAATATGGCATATATATGTGAAGTTCGGAATCAAAGTAATGTAAAATTCAACTCGACGAACCAAAGTAATGTGAAAAAAAAAGGAAAAAACATATTTACTTAGAGCTCATGCCTGGCGTACGCTATACCAACATTACCAAACGTCCCAGGCTAATGGACGTCTGGTCAATTTTGATTGAATATAGCGCATGCCCAGCATGTGTTATACCTGTCCCTTTTCCAATCAGCCTTATATGAGTTCCTATAATGATACACCTATCATTTTAATCATATCCTTTCCACTGTTCATGCATCATCTACTTAAACCAGACTTGTAGTCATGAAGAAATCATATTTCATTATTCCGATACAAAGGTCCTTTGTTCATCAGCTTCATCTATGATTTTTTGTGAATCTTTCAACAATGATGAATGAGTGACAAATTAATCAAACTAGGAAACAAACTAAGAAGGAAAAAAAGAAGTAAAAGATCCTGTATAAAGAATCAACTAACTAGGATACTAAATATTCTATACACACAAAAAAAACTATCTTACTTACTAGAAAACAAATCAATTAACAAAGAATCAATTTACATCTAATACAGTCCGACCTCTATAACAACATTCTTACATAGCAATACTTCACTATAAAAGCTAAATTTTTTCGGAATCATATTTCATTTTATGTTATAATATATGTTTTCTAGAAGAGCAATACGCTATAAGATTCAAAAATATTGTAAAAATTGCACAGCGCGCCCTATTTGGTCGCCCCCATTTAACCTATACCCATTTTTTAATTTTTTTCAACTTATACCCACTTTTTAAACAACTTCAGCCCCCTTTCTCCTCCTCCTCCTCCTCCTCCTCTTCCTTCTGCTGCTGTTGATGCTGCTATGAAACTTCAGTTCATGGGATGATTGCCATAAGTATGTTTATCAGATTATTTAAAAACAAATTATAAATAATTACGTAAGTTAGTAGACAATAATTTGTGAATATTTTCATGTACGGGAAGTTTTAAGGTCACACTTAGTGATTTTTTTCATGATAATTATGTTCTTTTCACGTTTATTGTTTCCAAAATTTATGATTTAGATACTGTTGGCAATCTGATTATTTATCTAGTATGTTAGAAAGCTTTTTCAAAAACTTCAGCTTATATAGTGCTGCAGTTTTTACAAATAAACTAAATAACTTCAACATCTTCTGCTGAAGTTTTTGAAAAAGATTTATGACAAAACTAATGAATCCAGTACAAAAAAAACTTCAGCTTATTTAGTGCTGAAGTTTTTATAAATGAACTAAATAACTTCAGCATCTATGCTGAAGTTTTGAAGTTTTTGAAAAAGCTTTACGACAAAACTATTGAATTCAAGATAAAAACTTTAGCTTATCAAGTGCTGAAGTTTTTATAAATAAACTAAATAACTTCAGCATCTTCTGCTGAAGTTTTTGAAAAAACTTAATGACAAAACTAATGAATCCAAGACAAAAAAAGCTTCAGCTTATTTAGTGTAACTACAAACAAAAATTTCAGCAAATAAAGAATAAAACTTCAGCTACTATGCTTAAGTTCAGCAATTACAAACAAAAGTTTCAGCAAATAGAGAACAAAACTTCAGCTACTATGCTTAAGTTCGGCAATTACAAACAAAAACTTCAGCACACTTGGTTCAGTATACTTGCTACTTCGGGTCCGTCTACTAGAATGCTGAAGTTTTGCGTGATTGCATTTGCTACTTCAGCTCTGTATGCTGAAGTTACGCGAAAAAGTGGATATGCTTGCAATTGTTTTTGTAAAGCAAACACATGTTAAAACGTGACCCAAAAAGTGAGTATAGATTCAAATACCCTAAAAATATTTGGAACAAAAGACACTGGTGGAGGTGTGAATGCAGCCAACAATATAAAGCAACAAGGAGTGACGTGACTATTATGTATAAGACCGCGAGAGAAGGAAAAAAAGAGAGTGTAGCCAAGAGTTTCTCACAGCCGTTGGTTTATTATCAGCAACACTAGTCTTGAAATCAAAGTTTCCAACTCCAAAAGTTGGGGAGAAAGAGCCCTTTTTGCCTTCCCGCCCAAAAATGGTGTTATCCCTCCAGCACCAGCAACTCTTCCATTCGCCCACCGGATTTAGCTCTCTACCAAAATCAATAACTAACCACCCTCTAATCTCCCTCAAACTACCAACAAGACTATCTAATAATCCACTTGCCTTTGCTCAAAACGCCGCCACAAGCCACATCGACACTGCGAAAGCAGCCTTATTGCCTCCGCCACTGAGGAAAGAATTAATGCCGAACCATGTTGCGGTGATAATGGATGGGAATAGACGGTGGGCTAAAATGAAAGGGTTGCCTATTGCCTTAGGTTACGAAGCGGGTGTTCGAGCATTTAGGAATCTTATTCAGCTGTGTTGCAATTGGGGAATTAGTGTTCTTACTGTCTTTGCTTTTTCCTCCCAAAATTGGTTCCGTCCAAAGGTAAAGTCTTTGAGTTCCTTTTTTAAGTCAATGATATTTGGTTTTATTTTGTGTTTGCTGTAAAGTTTTGCTGTTGTGTTGTAGATGGAAGTTGATTTTTTGATGGGCTTGTTCGAAAGAGGGCTGAAAAATGAACTTGAAGAGTTTGGGAGGTATATTAAACTCTAATGCTGACATAAATTTCCGTATTATAACTAATTCATTGTTTGGTTTGCAGCGTTAAAACTCAGCATCACTAGTGTAATCTTGCATAATTGATACGTTCAGTTTAGATATAAAATTCTAGTTAACTAATCAAACATTTGGATTGATATATTATACTCTAGCTTATTAACACGTGAGAATCTATGTTTTATACGGGGTAGAATGTGGACTATTAATACACTAGTAAATTTGCTCGCGCGAAGGCATGGTACATTTACAAAGAGAATTAATATAATGACAACAAAATTAGATTCAATTCCTCTTTTTATTAGAAAGATAGCTATAAACAACATACATTTGGGTTAATTTATTAGTTACAAGTTTAGTTTATTTAGAGCAAATACTTCTGCTTGATATTAACTATATACTAGTATCGAAGATGCTTATTTAAGTTTTATCTAATTAAGAAAGATAAGGAGTACTAGAAAATTAAAAAAAATAATAACTTATATAAGAGTATCTAAAGACAAAAGTTCCCTTAAAGTAGACAATTCCGTCATAACATCTTTGGTTTTACTCACCACATCACAATCTCTACATTATTATTCACCACATAACATTGTCGTATTATAAATTTTGTGTAAATAGACCGTGAACCAAATGACCTTTTAGTACACTAAACATGCTTTATAAGGCTATGGCTTTAGTAATTCATGTTGTGTGCTAAGACCATGAATTTGTTGAAGTCGCCAAAAACCCAATGTTAAGTGTAATTGCTTTGCTAAGATCATTAATTTGTTGAAAGGACCATCAAGATCAATGCTTAATGTGTTGAGACTTGTTGATTTGAAGAACTTTGACTTTTGTTAGTGTAATTGCTTTGCTAAGATCATTAATTAGTTGAAATTACTCTCAAGATGAATGCTTAACGTGTTAACACCGGTTGATCACAAACTTTGACTTAATAGGCTCTTTACGTTTATAGTTGCAACTTCATCAGTTCATTGTACAAATTCTGATTTTCACCTGTCCAAACACACATACTTGCATGCCCTTTCTTCTTTTCTTTCTTAGAGCTTTTACTTTGAGTTGTTACGATTGACTTTTTATAGTCTACAGAGTTTCCTTGTGTGATTTATCATATTTCTACAGAGCAGGGATTCGGGTGTCTATAATTGGAGACTCCAGTAAGCTCCCCAAGTCATTACAGGACTTAATAGATGAAGCTGTAAAGACTACTAAGGAAAATTCACGGCTTCACCTCGTAGTTGCAGTCAACTACAGTGGACAGTATGATGTTGTCCAAGCTTGTCAAAACATTGCTGAAAAAGTGAAGGATGGCATTATTGAACCCAAAGACGTAGATAGTTTCCTAGTAGAGCAGGAGTTACAAACAAACTGTACTGGTTTTCCGTGTCCTGATTTACTTATAAGGACTAGCGGGGAGCAGAGACTTAGCAATTTCTTACTCTGGCAATTGGCCTACACTGAACTGTTCTTTTCACATTCACATTGGCCTGACTTTGGAGAAACTGAATTTTTGGAGGCTTTATGTTCCTTCCAGCAAAGGCAGAGGCGCTATGGTGCACAGAGTTCCTAGCTTATGCCATGTATTTTTAGAGTAACTCTGAGGCTGAACAAACATCATTGAATATCTGTGATTCTGAAGGCCAGTTCTTGCAAGAAAGAATTTTCGGGTATTTAAGGGAAGCCAATACTTTTGAAAAGTCTACTTCTTATAATCATTCGGCACCTGGATCGAAATGATGTTGGGATTTTACTATAGGTCCAAAAGAATACTCAACTTGTTTCATGTCTATAAGTTGAGGACAGTAGTCAAAGAAAACCTTTTATAGCCTGGATTTCGGAGAGTAGTCAAAGAAGACCTTTTGTGGTCTGGATTTTTCTCGTCCACTGGATTACACATCTCTCATGGCCCCGCAAATGGACAACTGTAATATGTTTCATCTAATTGCCAATTACAGTCTATCTTGTCTCCAAACTAGTAAATGAGGCAGTACGACTAGGGTCATAAGTATGGTATCTCTGCCACCTGATCGAGGAGCATCCCGGATGGTCATAAATAACTGGTATAGACTGGACATGAGGGACAATAAGCTACTTCAAACTTATCTCTACCACCTGATCGAGGACCATCTGGCATGTATTCCTCTATACTGTTGTGATTATGCATGCTAGCTTTGAGCTGAAGGTCTATCGGAAATAACCTCTCTACCTACTTAAAGGTAGGGGTAAGGTTGCGTACGCACTATCCTGCCTAGACCCCACTTATGGGACTACACTGGGTACGCTGTTGTTTGCTTGTGTCGTGTCCCCTGTTACAGTTCCTCAATGAAAATGCAATTACTTAATGCCACTATGATGCATTTGATGCCATAGTTTGAGCACGTGATATATGTAATGTAGCATTCAGTTTGAAGATAATTGAGCGGTTGGAGAGCGGATCTTTTGCTATGTGGATAACACCTTGAACAACAGGTATATAGTCTATAGACTCAGCCCCACACTTTCTTTTTCCTTTTTTCAAATGGAGAATACATTTTGTGCAACAAGCTGTATCCTGAAGGAAGAAATATTGAGCCTTGAAGTTTTTAGAATGTTTCCAGTTATACCCTGAAAACTAACTAGTATTGATGTGATTATATTATCTGTTATTTCGTGAGACTTTTTGTAAACTGCAAGCCAGTTACTAAAATGGGATCTTGATACTCATGAAAATCAAGATTCCATAAGAAATAGAATCACCATTCTTCCAATTTGTGAGTGGTCAAAGCTCTTTTGGCTATTAGTGTTTATATGGAGTATAAGTTGTAAATTCTGACTGATGAGAGGCCAAGATGAGCCTTGGAGACTTATGGGTTCGAGAAAGCCATTGGCGCTTGCATCAAGGTAGACTGCCTACATCACACCCCTTCGCATCCGGTCCATCTCTGCATCCTGTGTGAACATGATATGCTTTGTGTATTGGGTCGCCCTTTTATTGATTGATGAGAGGCCCAAGTAAGCAAACAAGACTTTCCTTTAGAGCTGGTTTAAGATCTAAACCACTTGGAGGATAAAGGTTCAACTTTAGTAATTCCTTCTTACTCTTCAGCAGAAGTAACTATCTCATGTTTCAGCCGTAAAAGTAATGATCTTTATTAATTTAAGAGGCAGGAGTTATTTTTTATTCTTTTGCACAAGTGAAGTAGCTAACCTATTACGAGTCTTGTGAGATGATTTTTGTACCTAGAGCTAGAATTAAACGATCAACTTTTGATATATTAACAAGAGGAAAGAGTAAGTGCAAAAGCAACTGTTACATTTGTTATTTTTGACTACTCAATTCTCACAAGACTTGAGGGTTTTCCTTTAAACCCCTCAAATTTAGATAGGTTAGTTGTCCAAGAAATGGGTTGTTCATCATTCCACGGATGCTAAAGTTGAATTTTTCTCTAAGGCAAATCAAGAAGTTGTTATGTCATTGTCATAGACAACCAATCATATTTGGCCCTACTACTAATTAAATGAGTAGTACAATAGAACTAATAAAAAAATAATGCTATACATCATTGGTTATATTGCTTGCTTTTAATTTCCTACTAAAGATGGTCGTCTCAATGATGTTGCTTCTGGATATGAGACGAGCGAAAAATAGAATATGCAGTCTAATCAAGTTGACAATTTCTATCATGGGCCAGCAAATTAATGACAAAGTTGGGATAGTATTATTTTCCACTGTACTAACCGCCTAACTAATTTTACTGCTCCTTAATTAATTATCTACAGCTGACGGTTATAACCAATGGACGTGAGCGGGTTGGCTTATTAGCTACGAGTTTAATCGAATCTAGTATTTCGTCTTGGAAATGTTATATGTATGTGAAACTAAACTTCAACAAATATTACATTTTGAACCTCTAATTTCAAAAGTTCAAGCAGAATGAAATCTAAAGGTCGAACTCATTGAGTTTAAATGTGAATCTGCCTCAAAGAAGGTAAGTGGTGGGGATTAGTTTGAGTGGTAATCTCAATTGAGTCACTGGAATACTTATTGATGACCCATATACAGCAGCTACTAGATATTAGCTGGAGTTGTTTCAGCTAAGAATCTACAGACGATTAAACTAGTAATGTTTTAAGCAATAATTGCTGATACTCAAGTCAATACTAATTAAAGTCCGGTTTTTATAGGTGGTTATGGATTTCTTTAAATAGATTAATCATATTTTGGCTGGTAAATATTAAATGTTTATTTTTCCAGGGTCCTGATATCATTAATCTTGTCTCTTTTTTCTTTTTTCTTTTCTTTCCCTAAATTTCTTGATCCATTCTAGAGTTATAATATTGCAATGGCTTGTACACTCCTATTTAAAAGATAATTAATTATTTTCCTTGGCAATGTGCGGCAACATATGAATTGAATTCCTCATTTCCTTGTTCATGCATAGTAAGTAGCCAGCACTTAAACATCAAACACGACTATGTGGTGATGAGTTAAAAGTTACTCTATATTTGGAGCTCAATCTTTTAAAAATTCTTACATAGAGAATAAAAAAGTTTCATATATATATATATATATATATATATATATCCGTCATTTAGGAGACATGCATTCCATTTTTTCATAGTCTTTGTTTGGTAATGCTTTCCGAGGTCACGTGACATCCGGTTGGGCACAAATATCACGACCCTTTGTTAATCGTGTGCGGTCGTTTGGCAATGCTTTCCAAGGCCACATTATTCGAATTAGGTCCGAGGGCATGATCTCAATGGCTCCGGGGGCATGACCTCGATGGCTTGGGGGCAGGTGTTTTGTTCGAGCTTTGATACGGGCGGCTCCCAGCTTCAATCTTGACTACGCGCAGTTATGTTCTCTTTCGTTCGCCTCACCGGGATATCGGGGTGCTCCTTACCTTCGGTTTTACCCGTATATAGATAGTCCCCTCGTTTCTCAAAGGGTAGGTTTGCCGAAACGATGAGAAGCGACAGATGTTTTCCGGTTCCTTCTTTCGTACGTTATAACAGAAAATAACTAAGAGCATTATCCATGCAGCATATATGTTGATAATCATACAACCGTAGAAGATTCTAGTATACGTTAAAAGAAATAATTGAGCCCAGGTCATAAACGAAAGATTAAATTGTTAAAGGATTGTATCATGCGTATTCCTCATAGCCCACGAAAGGCTAAACATCATAACTAATACCATGAGCCGCAAATTCAAAGATAAATTAAGATAACATAAAGGCCGATCAGAAGAAGGAGGAAACTAAAGAGTTACATTAACGAAGTAAATCAGGAATCCGATTATTGAACCCAGAAATTGTAGAAATCGTGATTGAGAACATTGCAGGATCACTCTTAATATCAGAGGTACAAAATAGGAAGTACAACAACCATATTCTATAATAGCCCTACGATAAAGCCAGTAGGAAAAGTACAGGCCTCATAAGAAGTCAGTACGAAGCTCCCACCTAATTGTGTATGCACAGTGTTATAATAAGAGCTTCAAGTTATGACTGTGAATTATACCTATGTAAAAGGGAGGTTATGAAAGAGATAGAAGAATGCGAGGTAATATTTTAAGGTAAGTAAGGAAAAGGTGAACAACGTACAAGATACTCAAATGTAGAAGGCGATAAAAAGTCCATACTGCGGATAAGAGGCTAGAAGCGCGGGGATTCGATATCTAGGAATGATAGCAGCGTCGTTAGTGGCATACCTTCTAGCCTATGGTTTCTAAGTACCGAAAGGTCTAATTAGAGAGTAAAAGAAGAGTTAGAGACGATGTGATGTCTCGATGTTCCAGAAGAGCATAAGGGAATTGATCGCAAGCTAAAGTATGATAAAACGACAAGGTTTTAGAAAGACAAGAGTAGGGATAAGAAGAAGGCAAGTGAGAAGGTGACGAAAATGGATAAGTCCTCGGAACTAAGCCCGTGAAAACAAAAGAGCTAATGGTTTCTCTAAGTTATTGAAAGCTCAGCATAGCCTAAACGAACTCAAAAGAGTTTAAGACTAATATCATTTAGAAGAAATGGAATGTTACTCTGGTAGTAGAATAAGGGTGTAATTGTGATAAATAAAGGATGACGTTTGGGCCTTCGATTGAATAATGAGTTCATGAATTGTACAAGATTAAAATACCCATATAAGGCGAATCATATTGGGATGACTATGATATGAGATAGGGTTATGGAACTACAATATTGCCCCCAAGTGGATCTAGAAAATCATTTCAAATGTTCCACGATGCAACGTAAACCCTAGTGGAAATATATTACGTAAGAAGTTTCAAGTTATCAATGGAAGATTAAAGATCAATATTGAGGTGAATCGACAATGGATGAGCAAAAGCTGCAAAGTACTAGATGAGATTAGGCCATCAGTCTTAAGATGAACAATAATGAAGAAGCGTTAAAAGACTTAGCTTTATGCATATAGGATAAGCAATGAAAGTAACCTGGAGTTTAGTAGCAGACCTGAGTAATGATAATCGAAGTAAGAATTATGGTATAGTATGGCCTACTTAGATGAAGTAAAGCTAATGACGCCCAGAGGGATAGCTTGACATAATTTTATATATGTTCACAAAGTAAAGCCTGGAGATTAGTTAAAAACTGGAGGAAAGAGGAGAGAAGAGTTGTATAGGCACACTGATAAGGTCAGTATCATAGATGCTACATGGTAGGAGCTAGAAACAGTTACGAGATTCGAAGGAATTCGATCACAAGTCATGGTGTGGGAAAGAGGCCTAAAGGGGGGAATGCCCTGGCCTTTGGATTTATTCACAGAACAACTGTCTAAATGGCAAGGAGAGTATTAAGGTATTCACAAGAGCAATAAGTTATGAAAATGATAAGAGCATCAGTCAACATTCGAGGACGAATGTTCCAAAGGGGGGAATGATGTTACACCCCGCAATATTACGTCGATATTACATCCCGCAGTATTATATTACGATGATGTTACCTCCTGCAGTATTATATTACGATGATGTTACGCCTTGAAGTATTACATTACGATGATTTTACTCTTTGTAGTATTAAATTACGATGATGTTGCACCCTGTAGTATTGTACGTTGAATTTGTCGTAAGGTAATGGACATCTATCCAAGAAAAAGATTATTTGGAGATTATAAGGATTATGCTATTTCAAACAAGTGATAAGTAAATTCACGAAGGTGAGATGGGAAGCAAGTCAAAGAAAATGAATTTTCGTCCAATTTTGGCATTTTGGGATAAAATACAGCCCGAGCTAAAATACCCAGTAATTATGGACTAGTACCATACAAGGTACCACGTGGACATGATAGTAAGGTGTATAAGGTATGTTAAAAGTGGGTGGTATTTTAAGTAATTTGAGATAGTCCTTAATTATGTGGATAATTGATTAATGGTGGAGATAATTATGGTATTAAGTGGATAAGGGTCTTGTTGAGATTGCCACATGGCATAAGGTTAATCAAGGTGGCAAAATTATGCAAAATGAGTCACTAGGTAAAGCTTTATCTCGTTTACACGTAAATATTGATTAGTATCTTTATTGGAGAAGTATAAGACCTTGCAAAATTCAGCAAAACAACATTTTTCTATACCATTACAAAGATTAGATGGAAAAGTGACTTTCTTCAACATTTCATTAAGAGATACATGAAAATGTCACTGTCCAGCAAGGAAGCCATACAAAGTTTGATCAAATTCACCAAAATGTGATGTTCTAAATCTACCAAGTAGCGATTCAACAAGGAATTCATGCGAAGTTATACGGATTTTTCCCTACTTCGATCCTCCTTTATGTGTTCCATCGCAAAAGACGTGTGTTAGAGGGATTGCTAAGAGAATCGGCTCAGGTATGTTACGACTATCCCTTCTTTCTTTTTGGTATGATCCATATGATACAAATGAAACAAGTAAATACACAACTTCCATAAATGACTCTATTCATAGAAGTATTAGAGGTGCCTATGTTCTCGATTCCCCATATGTCTTATTATTCCATTGTCTGTTCATGAGTCTCAGAAAATACGTAAGTTGAAAAAGTTTATTTCATGATATTACTCAAAGGCATAATGGTCTTATGACATTCCGAGAGATTTTATTGACGTACTTCTCGTACATTGCATTCATTTATATGTACATTAACCCATGACCAGATGGTGTTATATACGCGTATATATATA